TAAATAAATTTTATAATTTAAAATAATTATATTAATTAATAATTTTTTTAAATAGCATTTTATTTTATATAATTATAAAAAAGATCAAATGATAAATTAGTAGAGAAATAGATTATATTTTTCATTAATATAAAGATACTTAAAAATGTACACTATTGCTTTATTCTTATATATATTTATAGTATATAACTAAAAAAATTTAATAGTAAATTATAATTTTTTAAAAAAATAAAAATTAAAGATATATAATATTTATTTAAATTAAAACATATAAATACATAATTAAAAATAATAAAAATATAATATTCATTTATATTATAAAAATAATTTTATTTTATTAAAAATAAATATAAAATTTAGAAAAATATTTCGGAGATAAATACCTAGTTAAAATAAATATATTATCTGTTTAGATATGGATGCAATCGTGCTAATATCCTTCCGTTTCAGAAAATAATTGAAAGGCGAGACAAAGAGAGAGCCCATTGGGAAAGGATTAGTAAACCCTAAGGCCTATCCTCCTCAGACCAAACTAAACAGTAATTTTGATCCGATCAAAAGAAAAACTCATTGCTCCTCTGTAATAAGATCAATCAATTCGAGAGAGATCGATTTTATTAATTCCAACTTGCATTGCACTTTCTCTGAATCTGCTTCCGTTTTGCTTCTTTCTGGTCAACCTCAATAAAAAAAAGAAAAAAAAAATCCGGCGAGATTCCGATGCGGTGACTCCGATTTGAAGAATCTGCTTGTAAAGAGAGAAAATTTCCGAGATGGGTCTCATCGAATCGGTGAAATCGATCAACTGGGAACACGAATCGTTCCCTACTTACCAGGATTTTGGGTTTTTGCCTCTCTTTGCAGTGTTCTTCCCTTCAGTACGGTTTCTACTCGATAGATTCGTCTTTGAGGTAAAGTTTGTTTTGCCCTTATCTCTTCTGAATTCGTTGTGTCCGTGAATCGCATTTATTAACATACAAACAACAACAACCAATAAAAAGGACACAATATATATATACTCTCTCTTATGTATGTGTAACACTTTTTAATGCTGAATCAACTACTTTTAGTAACGACCCCCTTGAGGAGCAATCATTACTCTTAAAGACTCGTGTCTCTGAATGGATTTTGTTTATCATCATCATCCTTCAGATTATGCAGTGTTGATGAAGATTGTTGGAGAAAAGTTTTCACTTTTAGTTTGTTTGTCATTTTGATGAATTGTAGAAAGTGGGAAAGCTTTTGATTTATGGAAGGAAGAGTTCGAATAAGAATGACAACAACACGAAAGAGAGGAAGAAGAATAGCAGAAAAGTCAGAAAATTCAAAGAATCAGCTTGGAAGTGTATTTACTATCTATCAGCTGAGCTACTTGCTTTGTCTGTGACCTATAACGAGCCTTGGTTCACGAACACTCTCTACTTTTGGATTGGTCCTGGAGATCAGATTTGGCCTAATCAACAGATGAAGTATTAATAAGAGTTTCTTTATGAACTGTATAATGGGAATTTGCTTGATATGAATGATCTCTTATGTTATCTCTTTTTTCTTCTTTCTTTTCTTGCAGGATAAAGTTGAAATTTTTATACATGTATACAGCTGGATTCTACACATACTCTATATTCGCGTTGGTTTTTTGGGAAACAAGACGGTCTGATTTCGGAGTTTCCATGGGTCATCATATCACAACTGTTATCCTCATTGTCCTCTCCTATGTCTGCAGGTACATTTACATTTACATATACTGTGTTGTGTTGAGGAAAGGATCCATCTTTTACTATTTTTTTATCCTCTATATGTTTTGGATGTTGATATATAGATTCTCTCGTGCTGGTTCTGTTGTCCTCGCACTCCATGACGCGAGTGATGTGTTCCTTGAAATTGGGAAAATGTCGAAATACAGTGGAGCTGAGAGTATAGCGAGCTTTTCGTTTGTTCTTTTCGCCTTGTCTTGGGTCGTTCTACGTCTCATTTACTATCCTTTTTGGATCCTTTGGAGCACAAGGTTTGTTTATTTACTTATTATGTTCTTGAATGCGTTTAGAGTTTTCAATGTATGTGATTTGTGTGATCTGTGATGTGTAGCTATCAAATTATCAAGACTGTGGACAAAGAGAAGCATCCGGTAGAAGGACCGATCTATTACTACATGTTCAACACTCTGCTGTTTTGCTTGCTTGTTCTTCATATTTTCTGGTGGGTTTTGATTTACCGGATGCTTGTGAAACAAGTACAGGATCGTGGCAAGCTTAGCGATGATGTCAGATCAGGTATATGCATTGATAATAATCTATTGCAATGAAATCTATATTTGTTTTTGGATCATTTTAAGTGGATATTAAAAAAGTTCATGTCTTTTTGCAGATTCTGAAAGCGATGATGAACACGAGGATTGAGAACAGAGAGAAAGTTTCAGACTTCAACATCAAGAAGGATTCATTGCAGGGTGTTTTGCTAAAAAAAAATGAATTAGCAGAGGATAACCGAGTCAAACCGCTTTTTAAAAATGGATCGGATAAGTTTAGAGATTGAATTCTTGGATCGGTTTGCTCGATCGGAGTTTTGGGTTTATCTGATTTCTCTAGTTTGAGCAAATTCAAGATTCTGTTTTTGAAACAAACTGCTTCATTTGTTTTACGTTTTTTTCTTTTTATTATGTAGTTTTTATTTTATTTTATGGACTTCATTGTTTGTTTTGGATCATTGCAATAATATAATTCCTTTGTATCGTCGAATTGTCATCGCATTTTTGTTTTAGACACAATCTTTCTTTCATTTTTTAGTTTTCAACTATGAATATATAATGTTAATAAACATTGCCCATAAACCCAATAAATATTTGCAAGAAGAGGAAAATTTCCAAAATATTTGCAAATCACACGCCTTTAAGGTTTGTTTGAGGTTTAGCATCTCTCTTCACTGTCTTGGTCGAGAAGACAGTTAACATCGCAAGAAAAGAAAAAAAAAATTCTCTCTTCTTCGTTCTTCATCGATTCTACTGCGAAAAGGTATCTCCTTTTTCACTTCCTTCGCTACATTAATCCCTAATTTATTCTGGATCCGGTTCTTATTCATCTGTCTCGATTTGATTCTCTCCAAGTTTGCGTCTACACTGTAAATTTTGAGACTTTATCTCTTTTTGCCTACTTATTTCTGGTAATTTAGATTTACAGTTTGTAGTTGAAGTTCGAATTGCTCAGGAAAATCATGGGTTTATGTCATCTTCTCACGGATTTGAGTTTGAATCCAAGGCACTTCATTTTTCGTTATCAAAGCGTCGGAATCTCTTTTGTTGGATTTTGTGTTCTCCACAATTTTGCTTTGATAATCTGTAATTTGATTAGTTTATGTGTATGATCTAGAAAATACTAAGCAAACTCGATTATGATTATATTATTGCTGCAAACTCGTTTAGAGAACCGTAGAGTTTTTGTTAGACTTTTGGAGTTTCCACAATTTTATCTTAAGATGGGGTTTCGAAGCAAACTATATCTGATCAAAGTCGACTTCTTTACGAGCTCTTAACTTAGCTTGGTGTATTGCTTGTGATTATAAAATGAATCAATGTTGTTATAGGCCCACGAACAAACAAAAATCTGCTGTTGATGCTATATGTGCAGCGACAAAGTGTTTCTGTAATCTCACTCGTTTAGGAGTTTGCAAGCTCAGATGTTTGTTTTTTGACAGTTAGATATAAGATACAAATTGCAGTTTTTACAGTTAATTTGAATCAAACAAAAAGGGTTTTTGTTTTGCATCTTGTATTTGCTTCTCCTAATTCGGTTCAGGTGTTCTCACATCTTTCTTCAGATATCTTGGAGTGTCTTTTGCTAGGTAACTGCAACTTTGATGTGTCTCTTATTACAGGTTTGTGAGACTTCAATAACAACATCTAAGAAATGGAAGATGTACTAACCGAGAATCCTCCACCTTCAAGATTCTTCCAAGAAGATCTCAACAACTTTGTTACCCCACCCGAACCCCTTCCGTCTCCGTTCATCGTCTTCTCAAACTTGAAACCGGAGCTGCCTCTCCGACCATCTCTACTCATCATAGCCGTATCTTCACCTTCCCTCTACATCTTCCACAATCTACCTTCAAAGACTCTCCTTGGAAGCCTCGTCTTGCCTGAAGTTCCGTTCTCTGGAAACACCGTGGAACCGTCTCTAGGAGACAATTCCTGCAACGTATATTCCTTGAGCAGCGCCGAAGATAAGAACTCGATCCTCCTCGTCTCTGTTCAGCTTCCTGTATCTCCTGAACGGTCTAACCTAGTCTCGAGATTGCTCATTGGCCAAGACATTGTCCCTGAGCGAGTTGTGATCTTGGATTCTGTACAGAGCCGTAACTTCAGAGGCAGACTCTCACCAGACGAAACCTTGGCTGCTAAACTCGAGACATCGTCTGAGAAGAAAGCAACATCTCGTGTGAATCTTGATTATTTTCCGTCAGGAAGTGTTATCGACGGCCTGAGTGCTTCGCTTTTGAGCCGGTGTCAGCTAAAGAACATCAGAGGAACATTGTTGGTCTCATGGCCTGAGTTTGGTCCTTCTGTTGTAAGATATCTTGGAGCTCTGCTGACGAACATTGTCCCGAGTTTGGATGTCGCGAGTGTGAACAAAGATCTTGAGAAGTATTCTCCAAGAACTGGTCTTAGAAAGGATGCTTGGGCTGACTTTGATCTATATACATGATTCAGAGTGCAGCCTCTTTGTTTCTTGTTCTTCTTATGTAATGCTTAGCTTTTATTGGACAAAACAGAGACCCTAGGCTTGCTTGTGTTTGTTCTCACTGCAAACAGATGTGTTTCATTTCTAGTTTTGTTTCTTTTCGCTTCGAAAAAAAGATGAATTTTAGTAATTGTTTATCGTGATTTTACATTATAAACAAAATCTTAATCTCGGTCGAAACCGACTCTAGATAAATAACTAGATTTGAAAATGTTGTTTTTTTATACTATTTTCTTCCGAATTCGATAATTGATCATGTTGAAGAAGATACTAACTAGTAATTTCTCACAGTTGGTAATTTATATAACATATTCACAATAAATACACTTCAAAGATTTCAATTTGTTTCCACACTAAAACATATGAGTCGTTACGACTCCAAAACCTATATACAAGTACCAAGCTTATATATATGTTTATGACAACTTTATAATTATTTCTCTTGGTCATCTTGGACCTGACAACTCCATGGCTTGAACCAACACTGAGGAATCATCTGTAAGATCCGAGTAACGTTCAGAAGACGAGAACTCGTTAGGTTTACTGTAACTTCTGTTGGTTTCTGTTCTCTGAGAAGAAGCTTCCCATTTCTCAACGAGACCATCGCCTTCAAGCATTCTCACAACTTCAGACATCTTAGGACGATGAATCGGAAGATACTGTGTACAAAGCAAAGCCACTTGAACCATTTCTTCCACTTCGATTCTGTCGTAATTGCTCTTCAAATCCTTGTCTACTATCTGTTCTAGCTTCTTCTCTTGTTGTAGTTTCTTCACCTACAAGTAACCAATAAAAGGTACTATAAATTAAATTGTCTGTAGCTAAATATTAAACCCTAAACTTGGCCTAATCTAACAAAAAATAATCTGGTCTTTACTCCTTACCCAATCAAGAATGGCTCCTCTTTGGTTAGCTGCTTTTCCAAACTCAAGAGCTCTCAAACCAGTGATCAGTTCGAGTAAAAGGATCCCGAAACCAAACACATCTGTCTTCTCCGAAGATTGTCCCGTTGAGAGATACTCAGGTGCAATGTGACCCACCGTTCCTCTCACGGCGGTTGTCACGTGCGATTCCTCGTGATCTAAAAGCTTAGCCAAACCGAAATCACCCACTACTCCTTCGCAGTAATCGTCAAGAAGTATGTTCGCAGCTTTGACGTCACGGTGAATGATCTTTGGGTCGCATTGCTCGTGCAAATACAGTAACCCTCTTCCTGCTCCTAATGCTATTCGCTTTCTTGTGCCCCAATCCAATACCGGTTTAGCTGCAACACACGTACACACAAATCGTAAACCGGTCCAACTATTGTATGTAAAGAAACTGAAACTGTATAGACTTTTGATCAGGATTGACCTAATTAATCAAACCGAACCGAAATAAAACAAAGTAAAATTGATTCGAGAACCGAATTTGCTTTTTAATGGTTTCACTTAACTATATTTTGAACCGAACCAAAAAAAGAGAAAAACCCGGTTTGAGATATTTTAATACCTTTGAGACGAGAAGCAACACTGCCATTGGACATGTAAGGATAAACGAGAAGCCGTTCCATGGAAGTAGTGCAGAAGCCGTAGAGACGGAGGAGATTACGGTGGACGGCGAGGCTTATCATTTCAACCTCCGTCTGAAACTGAATCTCTCCACCGCCATTGTTTATATCCTTTAATCTCTTCACTGCCACGATTGTTCCATCATGAAGACAACCTTTATACACATTCCCGAACCCTCCTTTTCCGACCAGATTCTTGCTGCTGAAGTTACTCGTTGCAGATTGAAGTTCTTTGAAACTAAACCTCCTTAGATTCCCTAGACATACTTCTTCCTTGTTTTGATCTGTGAAATTAATAAACCAAATTCACATAAACATTGGTCCGCTTTTCGCAGTAAACAGTCATGCGACTTTAAAATTTAATTTTACCATTCATGTCAAAGAATACTTGTTGGTTACGTCTTCTTCTCCACCAAAGAAGAAAACCAAAGCCAATGATCAACAAGCAAACACAAGTAAAGCTTAAACCGAAGGCTATGGCGATTTTCCGGTTTTTTGTTCCACCATTAGAAGCTCCATCTAACAACAACAAAGAAAAACCAAAACCCATTTTAGAAAACTTACAATCTCTAGCATTCAAAGGTTTCATCTTTTTGTTTCAAGATTGAAGTTTTAGGTTTTACTTTGGGAACTGTTGAAGGTCATTGGCATTTGCTTAGGCTGAGTCCCGTTACAGTCTTTCTCAGTTCCAGTTGGACAAATCTGAGGATTTCCCATTACACTGCATCATAAATAGACAAAAGGTTATATAAAAACTATATATTATATGCTCAGTTTACTTAGTGGTAACGTGTAAATGTGAATAAATTGCAGAGAAAAAGACAATTATTTTTTTGCAATTTCCCTGTTTTTTTCTCAGAACAGAGTAAAACGACAAATATTCTTTTTGAGAAATAGACTTACTTGAATGTTTTGGCAAGTGATCTTGGAACTGGTCCACTCAAGTTATTGTACGACAAATCCCTGAAAAATATAAATACGAAATATATAATCATATACTTATATGTATAGAAGAAAATCAAAAATCAAAATTAAGAAAGAGAACGTACAAAAAACTGAGTTGGGTCATGTTTGCCAATGAGCTAGGAATTGTTCCTGTCAGACTGTTATTATTCACCCTCCTGCTCCACAATTTTCAACACAAACCATAAATAATCATTATAAAATTATATTTTTTAAAGAGAAAGAAGCTTTTGGAAAAATGGGTAATCTTACAAGTACTGAAGATTTGTGGACTGAGAAAGAGTGAATGGGATTTGACCAGTGAAGTTATTGGTAGAGAGATCAAGTGTTTTGAGCTTCATCAACTTCCCAATCTCAGAAGGGATATGTCCTGTGATGTAATTGTTCTGCAATAGCCTTTTTGATTTTTTGATCCAAAAAAAGATTTTAGAAAATTCAATTAAGTAGTTAAGAGAGATGAAGAAACAATGTTTTGATATTTCAAAACACCTACACAGTCTGCAGATATGTTAAATTGCCAATACTGGATGCAAGAGTTCCTGACAAGTTCTGGCTTGGAGCTCCTCTACATACACATATAAGCAAAGACTGTAAACACATGCTTACATATATATATAGATATACTATGTGTGTGTATATATGTGCTTACAGGCTTAGGACAAAACCATCAAGAGAGCAAGTGATCATGTTCCAGCTACAAGGATCAACTGCTGTGTCATCCCAATTCATAAGAACTCCATGTGGATCAATCAGTGAGCTCTTGATTCCTATTAGAGCAAGAACTAAAGAAGGAAATAGAGGAAAAAGAAGAAGAAAAAATATGTTTTAGGAAGAAATATAAAATCAACAAAGGATGAATATATACCTATGTTGATGAATAATACCTTCAAAGTTAACACCTTTGTCTGTGAGCTCTGCAGAAGATGAACAGAGCAAAAAGATGATAAAGAGGAAGGAGGTTGAAGAGGACAAAGCATAATTCTGTTTTACTTCTCTTCTTCTCTGCACCATCTTTGTCTGAACCAAAACTTGCATTCAGTAGTAACTTCTAAGGTGCAGAATTTGAGGTTTGTGTCTTTTGTATACGAGATATTCGTTTGCAATTCTTTTGTCTGGAGGTTATTGAGAAAAATAAGAAACAGAGGCTTTTGATATTGAAGTGTCTGTGACTGAGAGTGAAAGAGAGAGGGAGAGAGAGGAAATGAGAGAGAAAGATTTGTCTGCCAATTATTTATCTTCTGATTTTTAGCTGTGAACTGGAAAAGGCCATGGAGAAAATCAGGTAATGCTTCTTTGATTTGTATAGTTTTTTTCAATCATGTCAAAAAACTTTAGTGCTTTTCTGTGTGTTTTTATATTGATTAAGTTAACATATGCATTAAGACCAAAACTAAATCAATTAATTTCTATTTCAATCAGAAGTTAACTTTCTTACTATTGATACAAAAAAAAAGGAAATTATGGTCAAGTCAATATATGCATGTCTCCTTTTATAGACCACTTTCAATTATGCATTTCTCCTTTTATCTTGAAAAATAATTATTTCGTTTTGTAAAATACTATATGTATAATAGACTCATGTTCTCGGATCTAGGACGGCAATAGACAAAAGGTTAGGAAATTTTGGGATAGAACAAACGAATTCTAATCGTAAAATAATCAATATTAGAGCAGGTAAAAAGTGAATTCATATGGTAAGCACCAATAGTCAGTTATTTTTATTTAGTCTAAATGTTTAATAAAAACGTACATTTTCCGGGAAGAATAATCAGGTGGCCTCGAACAAATAAAGCGTGAAATTATTTGTATGTAACGCAAGTTAAATAAACCGTGAATTATATATAGTGGGACACTTGTGCCAAGAGAGGCAGTGTGACGAGGAATTTTTACTTTTCTTTCTTTAATGACTCGCTTTAACTCTGCCTTTATTCCCACTCATCCCCATTAATTAGTATTTAATTATTTATTAATATCTTCGTAACTATTCATTAACTGTTATGAGAAAAAAAAAACAGTAGTATTAAGAAATTATTCATTTTTCCTCCCTAAAGTATTTTCCGAACTCAATTAAACATAGACGCATTATATTATAAACATCTTGAAATACAATTATACAAACCCTTTTTTGTCGACAATTACAAAAATCTTATATGCGCAAAATTTACATAACATAACATGTGCGATTGTCAAATGGATGGTTTTTTTTTTTGGTTATGTATAATGAATAGTTAAGCGGTGGACTACTGGAAGGTATTTTAACAAAATAAAATTAGAAGGTATAATTAAGAAATTAATTAGAAGGCAAACAAATATTTTCGAAATGAAGTTAAGAAAAGAATACTACAAAACTCGAAATGCCAAAAGATGAATCAATGATTTGTACATAATTATTTTACACAGTCTAGTACTTAGTATTTAACTACTTACTATTACTGCACAATAACGATTGATTACGAAATTATTGGGACCGCAACTAATCCAACAACGACTAGTTTAGATCAATTAAAAATCTAAGCTTAATTTTCTTAGAAACACCAAAATCTTTGTCTACACAGTGATAGTCAACAGACAAGTCACTTTTGAAACCGCAAAAGCAAATTGCTTTATAAAGTAAAAGCTGTCCTCTTCTATCTTTCATCATTACTTCGGTTTGTTAGTGCATTTCACTCATTGCGTATAACATCGAAAAATATATAATTTGCTCATTATATATTAATTTTTTTACAATATTACATATATTTACATTAGTAATGTAACTTACTTTCAACTTGTTAGTGAATTTCACTGATTTTTTTTTATATTTGAACTTTTGCTTAAGTAAATTTCACTGGTTTCGTATGATACTTGTAAATTGAATAATTCACAATAGTATATTTATTTACCAAAATTCTATTCGGCTAAAGTGAAGTAAATTATTGTCCTGAGAATGAAAGTAATCAAAAATTAATTTATATAATATCCACTACTAAGGTGGTCTAAAAAAAAGTTAGCATAAACATGATTCTCATTTCTCACTATTTATTTTGGTTTATTTAAGTGGTCAATCTTCGAAAAAAAAACTGAAGAGATGTATGTCGTGTGCATGGATGCACGTGTGATACTACTCTCTTATGTCTTAACATAACAAAAAAAAAAAAACTTAATTGTTTTTCTTCTTCATCATCATCATCAATTTCTTTGACCACGTCTCACAAACTCGCTTCTGCATTGTAATTTTTGTTTTGTATGCATACTATAGTTTAGTTTGAATTTTTATAAAAAAAATTCTGTAACAGTTTTTGTTTGTTTTGTTAATAGTGACTGATTGAATTTAATTATGATTAGTTGATTATTTTGTTGTTAGATCAAGGGTCTTCTGAAATACATATTTGTGTGATCAGTTCCATCAAAATAATTTATTGCAAAATCAATGTTTATATATATACACACACTGAAATAGCAGGTTTAAAATAATTAAAACCTTTATAAAAAATCAAAATTAAAATATTTTATTATCGTTCTGACTGAAACTTTTATTGATTAGAATCTTTTACTAGTCAAATCAAAAATGTTTTGTTAAATAATCGAATCTGAGCCAAAAGCAAAATCGTAAATGATCCGAATAGCATTCAGTTTCGTATATACGATGTTTTTTTCAGTTTTTGATTAAGAAAACATAATTATTAATAAATAAATATTTATATATGAAAATGGTAATAATGTATAAACTATGTTATTGGATGTATTATATCATGATGTCACAATTTTCTCTCCAATTTATATGAAGTGTTTATAAGTTTATTGTTTCATCTCCCACTAATCATAAGTTTGAACTAAGTTATATATCTTCACACATTTTAAGAGTTCAAAATACAAAGACAGACAAGTTAGTATAAAGTGCTCGAAACTACTTTTACAGTTTAAATTATGTAAATTTTTCTCCACTGATTTGGATTTCCGAACCGTTCTAAGAAATAAAGACTGTTGACAAAAAAAAAAAAAATTATATACCCTCAACTTTTATGTTAAAGTCATATACCTTCAAATAAGAGGAAACTTATTATTCTTTGGAGTAAGCCTCTCGCGATATATTTTCTATAATTTATAACCAAATTTTGTTTTTGACAATATTTATATCTTGTGATTTAGTTTATGACATTGTAAAAGACGTTGAGGTGTTGTTCAATTGTAATATAGTTCTTGGATATGTGATATGCCTGGGTGTTAATTAATACTAACTTTAACAAAACTAAAATCAATTGCCTTACAAAATAAACGATTGGATTTTCGTACGTAAGTAAAACCCCACGTCTGTCTCTTCAATCATATATTGTTCGTCACCTGTTACTTTTGATTACCCTACCTTTTCGTGCTTTACAAAATATATGGTCTAAAAAGTTATAACGGCATAATTTAGTTGAAAAAAAATTACATATTGATGAAATCTAGCAGAAAATAACGAAAATTAAATTAATTAATGGTGAGTCCTGACATTTTTGTGTGGATTAGCTAGTGATCAAAGTGGTAAGATGAATATAGAGTGAGAGTTTAGTATTTTGAACAACAAAGATATAAACAGGGCCCAGCAACATTTTGTTTTTACGACAAAATCATACATGAATTTTGTACTATAAACTAATAAAAGTTTGATGAAACTAGTGTTTTCTAGGAGTATCCATGTTTACGTATATGGTAATAATATAATGTATACATTAACTTAAGACTCTGATTTCAAAGAATAATTACAAAAGGTCGAAAAAAGCTTGGAGAGTTTGTATTAGTTTATTAATAAAAGTTCATTTCACATTCGATTACAAATTTAAAGCACTGAAAGAAAAACAAACAGACCATCCAAAATACTTTTCAATTTTTCTCAACATGAAAAATGGCCCCCCTAAAGATCCTCCAGGTTAATAAAAAAAATGAAAGTGGTACATGCATCAAATATTTCCGGGGTCGTATCAGTGACAAAAGCTGTCTGGCTAAAACCAAAACGACATGACTTTAGTATGATTGTATAGCTCAATAGAAAGAAAGAAAAAGTCATTTTCTTAGAGTTTGTGTAATACATCATTGTCTATTACATGTTTATATTTCAAAATATCGATACCATTTTGTCACTCTTTCATCACGCGTAGGAGATATTTTTGTGAGTGATTGACATTTTTTTTCCATTTATAATGAAATGGACACGAACTTAGTAGATCCATTGGTTTCGTCGTCTTTGGTTGATACCATGGATAATCTTCAAAGTTGTAAACTGTAATGCGCAGTTTAAATTTTAAATGTTGATATATAATATTTATATATTTTAAATTTTAAATGTTGAATAATCTTCAAAGTTGTAAACTGTAATACCATGGGCTTTTGATATATAACAACTAATAAATGTTTAGATTATAAACTAACTTCTTATATTCATTAATGCGAGTTTTGTGATATAACTTTTGGGTTTTAACTTTTAAGCTCTAACAGTATCCATTCTAAATTTAGTTTCATGCACAATATAAGATTCCCTTACCTTGTGAGGCCAATATATATCTAGGCACCATCAAACTATTGGTAATATCAAAACTAACATAGAATATTAGAATTTTAGAGTAAACAACATTTTAAGATCTTCAAACACAAACAAAGCTTAGAACTTAAAATCTTGATGGTTACGCAATCGCAGACTTCAAAAACACAAACACAAAAACAAGAACTGCTTTCATCAGAACATAAACATTTGCACTTTAGAGAGATCTACAGTTTTCTCTTATTCGAAAAAAACAAAAATCAAAGGAAAATGGATCACTCTTGTTCTTTAAGCACTTCTTCCTCTTTCCAACAGAACCCAAGAGTCGATTTCGGTGAGCCACATTCAACATTCTTGACAAACTTCTGGTAAAGAACCGAACCTCCAAGCTCGAGCTCCTCTACTCCTCTCTCTTGGTTCAAGTATCCCTTCACATCAACCACACAGTCACGCGCCAAAACCTCGGTTCCAAGATCATCAGCGTGAACCGCAACAGAGAACTCTCCCGGTCCAAAACAAACAAGAACCCTATTAACCAACTCCTTAAAGCTCAAAGCTTTGAGATCATACCCAACTGTTTCAAAGCTTGCATAGCTAAAACCATCTTCCGGCGTCACGTGGATGGTGGAAACCGCATCTCCTTCGATAGAATTCATCGAGTAACCACACGGGTCGAACTCAAAATCGCAGATTCCAGAGCTTGGGAGGATGTTTCTGATCCCTGAGCTAATAGTCATCTCAGAAGCTGAAACAGAATGGGTTTTGAAGAACACAGAAGCCTTTCTCTTGTCTAAACCAGTCATGCACATCTCCAATGTATAAACCGGTTTGTCACCAGCAACAGCTTCATTTGAAGCAGAGTAGACATGCCATCTCTGAGGGTTATTAACTGATCCTCCCATCACAAAAGCTTTGCTTCCTGAACTTAGCTTACCGAAATAGCCATCGAGTAAAGCAACTTCCTCTGAGAAGCTTCGGTGAGGGTATGATTGAGCTCCAGGGAAAATGAAGCTGCCGCGAGTGTAGCGAACGGATTTCACCGCGAGGGAAAGTGAACCAGTAAGGTTAAGGATATGTGGGATCGAGAAGAGAAGCTTTGTAGTCCCACACGTTTTGATGATGATCTTGTAAGGATAGACGAAGAGGCTAGACTCAGAGAGGACGTAAGAGTCGACGAGAGAGTTTGAGAGCGAGGAAACAATCGTGCACACTGCTGGAGTCAAGATGTCGTCTAACTGAGACTTAGTGAGAGCACGGAGACCTTTTCCCTCGGGATCAAGAAAGACACTAGGCTCGAAGAAGGAGATTTCGAGCCGTTTCTCAAATCCTTCGAAACCAATAGCAGAGGCCGTCATTTTTTTTCAAAAAGATGAGTGTAAGTAAAGAGGAAGAAGAGTCTTGAAAGCAGAAGAGGAAGCTAGAACGTTTTGATGAACCACGGTTATTAAGTGGTTAGGAGGAAAACGTATTGAGGAATATCAGGATGGTTTGCGAGTGATCTGCATAATAAAAAACAAACAAACAAGTAAAAATGGTGAGTTAATTAACATGTATAAGAAGAAAACTTCTTCAAAGCCTAAGACTTTGAAACAGAAACTTATACTTACGTTTGAGTAAGCAGCAGATCTGAATTTCTTGATTCCACCGTTTGGTCGAACGTCTTCAATGCTGTATCCAAGAGGAGCTTCGTAGAAAAGACTGTTACTACTACTACTACTAGACTTCTTTTTACCACCTTTAGTCTCCATTTCTCATTCACCTAAAAGAAGAAGCAAAGATTAATTAAAAACAAGAACTCTATTTCAAAGTAAGACAAAACTCAGAGACAAAAGCGCCATGCATAATTGCATAGAAACTATCTCGAAGGCCACAAAGAGCTAATGATATACTTTTGATAATAGAGAAGACTAAGAAAGATTAGACGAAATCAAGACTACTGACGAAATTTGGAATTATGGATCTATAAATCATCATAAGTAGTGAAGTAATCCAACACACAGAAGAAAAAATGCTGATGAAGAAACAATTTTTATAGGTTTATACTTTATACAATAACGCTGAGATCAATTTTTTTTTCTGTGGGTTATCAGATCCTAACGATAATCGAAGCATAAAGGTGGAACCTTTAGAATTGCTTGAACAAGCTCTAAACTCTAAAGTAGTGAAGCAAACCAATACACAGAAGATAAAGAAACAATTTCTATAGGTTAATACAATAACGACGGTCAATTTGTAAGATAATCGAAGCATTTTTTTTTGTGCGAAATAAGATAATCGAAGCATAAAGGTGGAAACTTTAGAATGACTTGAACAAACTCTAAACTCATGAAAAGGCGATTCATGGAAGCAAGATAGTAAAGAGGTTTTAGGAGAATGCTTACAAGGCAAAAAGATTGTTTTTAAGTTAATGAAATCGACCAATCTGATCAAACCCTCGAGAGCCTAAAGCCTGGAAGATACAAACAAGCAAACGCATAAATATGGAACTCAAGAGATGATCAAACACACATTTCTAAACCCAGAAGCAGAAATTAAAGAACAAAAATTAGAAAAAATTACCTCAATTTGATAGGAATGGGACGAAAGGATTGATTTGATTCGGGAAAATGAAGAACTCCGAATTTATCTCTCGCTCGCTGTGATGTTGTTAATTTGAGAAGAAATTTGAGTTCTACGAGAGACGAATAGCCCCCCCCCGAGGTTTTGATTTTATAGTCAAAGTTTTGCGGACTTCTTGAACTGTAAAATTACAAATTTGCCCCTAACTTCAAGAAAAATATAGCAATTATTTCAGTATTGGAAAGTTTAATTAATTTAACGTTATTTCGGCACAAACGTTACATGGCGAAAGCAGGAAAATCATTAAAGCAATGATTTTTGCGTTTTTATTCTTCACGATAATTTTTAGTTTTTTCTTCATTAAAAGGATGATTTTTTTTTTGTTAAATAGAACTCGAAGAACAAATCACAAATGATAATGTCCATTTTTGAGATTCCATTGATTATTCGGAAAAGTGAAGGCTGCGCAACAACTTGTTGAAATGTTAAGTTTTGTGCTTTTTTACTTCCATCCTTATGGATAGAATAATTGTGAATTTTTTTAAAGAAGGTTGTTCTCCTAACGATAATATTAATTTTATTTAGCCTCAAAGAGATAATATTAATTTTATTTAGACGGCGAATAGCGTAAAGCTGATTTTTTTTTTTTTTTTAAGCTGAAAATTTTGACCCAAGACCCAAGTTGAAAATTGCGATTCAGGACTGGAAATAGAAAAATTTCATACAATTTTATATGAGTAAACAACTTTTGTAATTTAGTTGAGATTAGCTCACCAAATAGAAAAGTAACCATGATTTTAGGAAAACCAAGAACGTGAGAGAAGGCACCATTAAAGTAAGATATATATATAAAACTAGAGTGGAACCTAATGTTGATTTGATAACCACTGAAATGATTTAAAACTTTTATAAAGAGCAAAATTAAGGTCTTAGTTAAACCGAGAGAACTAATCCGAATGGAATATGTATGTTTTGGTCATTTGGTGTTATCGACTATCCTCTTCTTTGAGTTTTTTTTTCTTTCTCAAAAACAAACTTAATGTATTGTAGTTTACAAATAACAGTATAATGTATTTGATACGTCTAATCGTATAATGACTTGACTAGTCTCCACGTATGATTGTAGATAAGTACTATACACAAACATATTTCGTGTAGAATCCGTATAGCCTTAAAATTAGTTTTACAATATGAATACCTTTCAAGAATTATTATCGAATATTGCAACATTACATCTAAAATATACGATAGATATGAGACTTTAAGTGAAGAGAATATTAGACGTTAGCGAATGGACAAAAAGATTAAAAGAAACAATAAGGCGGTAGAAATTTGTGGTGTGCAAGAGAATTTGGTTCACATAGGTGAGATTCTTATTCCTTGATAATGTTTTCCTTTGTTCATATTCTCTTTTCAATATTCACTCACACTTATTGTTTTTTTTTTGGGGGGTGTAGTTATTCTTTTGACGTATGAATTTATATATACTTAACAATTCCAATGGAATATATATAAAGACTTGTACTTTGTACTTTATTAAACCCACTAGGTACCCATAAAATAGGATCCGGTTAGAGGAGCAGTACATAATTAAGGTTAATGTTTAAGATTTTCGGAGGAAGTCAGAAGAACAAATATCAGTTAATAGTTTTGATGAGGGAGCAATATCAGTTAAGAGCTTTTTAATCTCCAAAAATACTAATTAGACAGAATAAAATAACCAAAAACATCCTAAGACTCCTAAAAAAACACAAGACCCCACTTGGCCAACATAAACACAAGAACAGAATCCTAAAACATCATGTAAACACATCAAAAGGAGAATCAAAATTAACAAGAAACGAGTCTTTTAACATGCATCATGAAAACACACATTAAAAAAAAAAAAAAAAAAAGAATGAACACCACCAATGGAATGAAACGCTTAAAACGGAATACATCAGAATGTTCTACTAATTAACAACCCGATGTTAAATACGCATTTTCCAACGTAGTGATGTAACCAAGTGCTTGTGTCCTGGGCCTTAAAGCCACATATGTGTATGTTTCCTACAAGGCCACAAGCCCATCCTGGAAAGATGATCACTTGTTAATTATATGAGTGATAGTGTATATATTAATCGATCATGAGAAAATGGATGTCACTAAACTAGGAACTACTAAGAGTTTATGGGCGACAAATCTCCAAAGTGCTTGCTCTGTTGTAGACTTGTTCTAATTTGACGTAAGGAGTTTTTTTTAGTGGTTTTTAGAAAATTTCTTGTGTTATCTGTCAAAATAGACGTATGCATGAAAAAATCAGACATACTTATTTATTAAGTAGTAATTGAACTTTTAAATAATCGACTATACTATTAAAATATTTAACAGTTCTCAAATCGTGAAGCTAACACGGAGGTCAATGTACATTGAGTCGTGTACTCCGGATGAGAAATATGAGAAGCTGTCTGCCAAGTAAACTGCGATATATTAATTAATAATTACTAATAGCATTACTACTATTTTTGCTATTTTTATTGATTATATGGAAGCTTTTGAGTACAAAACCATACATATATGCTTAATTGCATTAGATCTCTAAAACTTAGGACACGTGATCATTTTGTTCAACTTGCTTAAAATACTACTCAAACAACAAAATTATTGTATTCTTCCCGATGCAAGATCCTACTTCTAAATTATTCGACAAAATTCCAAATTCATGATGGCGAAACTTCTTGGTTACATCGATATTTTTTTAAAAAAAATGTTCAAACAAACGTCCCGATTTTGAATAAAGAAGTATACTCAGATTACAATAATTTCGCGTATACACACGAATTCCCCATACTTGTATACTGTTTATAAGATTATATAAAAGATCTTTAAATATAAATCATGGATGGGTCGTGATCCATTGCTAACGTATACGATACTTGAAAAGTAAAAACTTGTGGACATCATCAAAGAAAGCTACTTTGATTTTGTCTATAAATATAAAATGCAGATGCCATATTCCTTTAGGGAGAAAATTGAGGCCAAACACAAAAAAATAAAAATAAAAAGAAGAAAGAAGAACACGATTCTATTCTTTAAACTTTTTAAATGTAGAAACCATCAAACCAATATAGAATAGCCTCTCTCTTGTGTGTATAGGCAAATGCAATGTTACTTCTATATAAACAATCAACATCTTCAGACTTCAGTACATCAATGTTTGTATATTCATGGCAGCATTTTGACACGTACTCGAATGGACCAAAATTATCAAAATTAATCACTCCACTTACCCGTTGAAAACGTAATTAAAAGATTTTTACAAAAAGTTTTTCATACTCTTCTGCCCTCATAATAATCTCCTTTCGCTAAAATAGCATCACATACTCTGAAGCTATATATCTACAAACCCATTTTGAAACTAAATTATTCTGAACTCAATCATTTCATTTTGTAGAATAAAAAATACTCGAGTTTAAAAATAGTAAGGAGTGGACAAAAATAAAATAGTAACCTAAAAAATAAAATAAAAAAAATCGTATACCAATCGACATGTTTTATCACTTTGAAACCTGAAAATGAAACTTTTTTTTTAATATACAGTTAAACAAACCTGCCCAAATAAAACAAAAAAAATTCAAAACTATATTTATTTTGACAACAGATTAATCATTTATCAATTTTATAAATACCCATATTTATAGGATATATATTTGTTTTTCAAAAAAAGATATAAAAATACTAATTAAAAATCGTTACAGATACGCAAAGCCCTCCTTTCTACTCTCGTCCCGCTTCGCCTCTTTTAGGACGCAAGAGAGAGAGACAGAGAGAGAGAGACTCATTAGCACAAGCTCCCCTCTCTATCTCTCTCTTTCTATATATCTCCGATTCTGATTTTGCCGACTCTGCTTTTTTCCTCCTCGACGTCGTCTTCGGCTTTGCAGCATTTCGCCATTCGCCGAAGCGTCGTAAGTGCTCTTCTTCTCTTCAGCCTCTGTTGTCTTCGAGATCCTTACATCGAATTTGCTCCTCGTTTACTGGAATCTACAACCTTTTAAAGATCCCGTTCTATTAATTTCGTTTACCCGCCTAATTGTTTCTCCGAGCTTCGTTATATGCTGTTGAAATTTGAGGCATTTTGCAATCAAAAACTCCATTTTTTTTCAGATGGGTCATGCGCATTTCGTGGTTATATACTTTTGGGCATTTGAAAAGTTCTCGTCTTGACACGAAAGATCCATCCTTTAATGAAGATTCTCTTGTTTGTTGTTTTTGATCTTTGACAGGTTGATTTCTGATTTCAGACCCAATTTGGATTTTGGAATAAGAAGGAATCGGATTTTTGAAATGGGTTACATAGGAGCACACGGTGTAGCTGCTCTTCATAGATACAAATACAGTGGCGTGGATCACTCTTATCTTGCCAAATACGTTCTCCAACCTTTTTGGACCCGTTTTGTCAAAATCTTCCCTCTATGGATGCCGTAAGTATCCTTTTTTTTACATTCATGTCCCTTTGTGGCAGCTCTCAGATCTCGTAATCTCTTGGTATAGAGTATCTTTGCGTTTGAGTGAAAGATGGAACTAACGTTTTTGCTTTTCTTTTTTTCATGTGTTTACTTACTACCTTTGGGTTCCAATATCCAGACCCAACATGGTACAATGTGAATCCTATATTTGGCATTTAAACTCTAATGTTAATGTTGTTACTTAGTGGGTAATGCTTGTGGTTTGTTTTTGTAGATAACACTTATGGGGTTCATGTTTCTCGTCACATCTGCGCTGTTAGGCTATGTGAGTTGTTGGTTTGATTTTCATAATCTTTTTAGTCCCTTGAAGGTTTTGTTTTGATTTAGTTAGTTAATATCTTCAAACTATTTTTAGGTATACTCACCTCAATTGGATTCTCCTCCTCCTCGATGGGTCCACTTCGCACATGGACTACTTCTGTTTTTGTATCAGGTCTGCTCCTTTCTCTTAAGGATCCAGTTTCATTGTAATCTTTTTTGCTGACATCTTTTGAACACTCACGATTGGTTTTAGACCTTTGATGCTGTTGATGGGAAGCAAGCACGAAGAACAAATTCCACTAGCCCACTCGGAGAGCTTTTTGATCATGGTAGTCTTATGTTTCTCAATGTTTATCTTTTCTTCTTTGTAACATGTTTTTGTTAGTTTGTTTTTGACACTCATTTCATTTTTGCAGGTTGCGATGCACTTGCTTGTGCGGTAGGCATTGCAAATCCCTTTTTTTTCTTATAGTCCTTGTTCTTGATGAAAATTTAGCTATTG